GGCTGTCCCGCTGGGAACCCCAGCCAGTCCTTCTTCTCCTCCTTGGAGTTAGCTCCACTGTCACCTCTGCAAATGGCCAACCTCCAGCACCTGGCATTGGGGCGGTGCCTCCCCCTCAGTCCTGCAGCATCCTGTGTTTACTTCTACTGCATGGTACCATTACTATCTCCTCCCTGCCTGTCTCTCCCACAGGCTTGCAAGCAGGTGTTTAAGAGCTTAGCCTGGGTTGTAACCTTGGGCAAAGTTCTTTTGTCTGTCTGTGCCTTAGTTTCTTCATACATAAAATGGGCATAAGCAGGGAAATTCGCGTCATGTACATGATTGCTAGCGTATGTTAAGGCTCAAGGTTGGCTTTGATAATCTGTGCAACTTCGGGACTAACACTTGATTAATACTCAGTGAAATGGCGACTCTACCTGGACTGGTAGGTTTCAATTGTTTTCCACATTAGAACTACCTGGAGAGTTTGTTATGACACGGGTGGGTCCCACATCAAGACTTTCTGATCCAGTGGGTCTGGAGCAGAGCTTGAAAATCTGTGTTCCTATCTTGTTTTCAGGTGAGGCTGACGCTGCTGGCCTTGGGGCCATATGTGAAGAACCACTGGGTTGGTCACCTGGGGCGATGCATATCTGGTGAGACTATCAAACGCTTGGAGCTAAAATGATCGCCTCCTACAGTGTAGGGCAACCTCCTTCCAATAAAAGTAGACCATGGACTGTGAATCTATCAGTTTGTCCATCCTACCAGCTCTTACTGAGTATTTAGCATGTCCAGGCATTGTGCTAGACCACAGAGCAATCAGTGACACAGACAAAAAGGCCCCGATCTTGGTTAATTCTCAACCTCATGGCCATGCTTTGGGGAGTGGGCTTCACAGTTACACAGAGCCTATCAATTTGAACTCAGTGTTTGTCTGGAGGGAGTGGATCACCTTAAAAATACTCATGTTAATGACTGCTTTCCTGTTTATTGCACCATTGTAGTGGCTTTCTCAATACCGATTTCACCAAGACTATCCATTGAAGTGAATTATCGTAATCCTACAATCCCCTGGCCTGGAACCATAGCCATCATTTATTTGGCGCTAGTTTTAGGATGCTGTCAACCCATAGAGCAAGGCAGAGTGGAGATGCAGCGGGGCAGGGCAGGGCTGTGACATAACACCCGGTGTATGGAATGCTACATTTCTATATTTTTTATTAGCTGGAACAGAGCCTGGAACTGTTCCATAACGGCTCTGTATGAAATGAGAGACATCCTCACTGGTATTACCACCCTTAGTTAATTTGAGTTGGCTTTTCTGGTATTTGGACCTAGGAGTTCCCTATGATAGCATAGCTCGCATTTGGTAAGTTGTTTTTAGGTACCAGCCACTGCACTGTGTTTGCTATGAGTCACCACCCTCCATGCTCAAAGCACTGTTCAGGGAGGGAACTGAGAGGTAAGTCCTTGGTTCTCTAAGTTGCTGTTTCTCTAGTAGGGTGTGGGGATGGTGAGAGGTGAAGTGTCTTTGGCCAATACACAAATCCTTCCTTGAGCTTCTCAGTGGAACAGATAAAAATGGGAAATCCAAGCAACCATCTTTGGTTGGGAGGGCTGGGAGTCACAGGAAACAACTGGTTTTCCCAGATTGGCTTTTTTGTTCTGGGTCACCTCATTAAACTTGACTATTTTCTAGAATGAATCAACAAATAAACTCTTCACTCTGCTTTAGTGCAATCTCCTAGTTGGGCAATCAAGGAAAAGGGCCTGGTTAGAGATTGGAGAACTTCAGTTCCTGGAGTGCCTCCGTGTGGTGGGATTTAGATGAAAAGTGCTTAGTGAGGGATAAGGAACCTGTGCCTTCAATGGCAATCACTACTGGATGTGCAGCTGGGGCCATTTTGCCAAGAAGTGCCAAACTGAGAAGCAACAGGAAAATCTACACAGGTGCCTGCCCGAGCCCCCAGACTGCAGTGTAACAAAGGCAGCAGTTAAACTCAGGTAGGGGCACTGGCTTGCAATCAGATAATGCATTCAGAGAGCATTTCATAGACCGAAGGGTGTGGTCACTTTGTCCTGTGAGGTCTCATGGTGGCTGTTCCAGCAACGGTGAGTCAGAGGGCAGGGGACAGGGAGGATGGACAGAGTGGCTTTCTGGGGAAGGTGGCAGAAGCTAAGGACTTAGATTCATGCAGAGGGCTGGCCGCTTGGGCTGAGCTAAGGTCTGAAGAGCCTGCTTCTCAGTGGGTAATTTCCCTTCTTTCTGACAGAGCCCTAGTTTCCAAGGGGACAGTGCCACTCCATTCTCACTGATCGAGTGAACAAAACCGTGACTATGGAGAAGCCTGACTCTGCTCGCCACACAGAATTGCCTCCTTACATGATTTTGGTGCAGACCAGCTCCTGCCAGCCACACGCCTCATTCCAGCCTGCCAAGCTTGCTGTGCGGACGCTTTAGCAATCGGCCTCCCTTCCCTTTCCTTCCATTTGAGGAAGGTAGTGGAGATGAGTTTATTTTTAAAATGTATTTTAATTAATTAATTACGTTTTTTGCGAGGCTGGGGAAGGATCCCAGGCCTCACGAGTACTAGGTGAGCATTCCACCACCGAGCTGCACCCCAGCCCTGACTTTATTTCTGAAGGCCAAGGATCAACCTGGGATTGTGTGACAGAGGAAACGACAATGCCAGGAACCCGCTGTAGAAATCTGCTCTTTTCCTGGGTCTTTGAGAAATAGTCAGTGGGGTGTGTTCTGGCCTCTTGGAGTCTAATTTAATGGGGCCCCTCTGATCTCAGACAGGGATGATCTAGGGGTGTGTGTGTGTGTGTGTGTGTGTGTGTGTGTAGCAGTCATTCCAGCTCACTAGCTCCATTCTTGGAAAGGCCACTTCTTCTTGGCGTGGGAGAAGATATACTTCCCTGAGCACCTAAAAATAAAGCAGTAAATAAGTCAGTGACTCATCAGAATCAAGAAGGCACCTTTGCCCCTTCCCTTAGCCCTTCGTTTCTCTTTCTCTTTGAGGGTAGCTTGCAGTCTTTTGCTGCATGGGGTTTGGCTTGGACTCTTCCCCTGGTTATCGACTGGGGTTTGGAGGAATTTTAGTCCTCCGTGGGTGCCCCTGTGTCCTTAGGGGTCTCCTGAGCCCATGAGGGGAGTATCTGCTCTTTTCCACACTAATTCAGCACAAGGGGTAGAAATTAGTACTTACTGCAAAGGCACCGGGAATGCGATGTCAAGTAAAAACAAACAACAAAACACACACAGAGAAAGCACGAGAGTAAACAACCACTGGACTTAGAGTTCCCCTAATAAGTAATTTTCTAGTTCTTGGTTCCTTAAATATTCTTGCCTTAGCGGGGGAACAAAACCAAGTGGTTTCATTTAAAAGATTTTTCTTTGGTCCAGGTGGAGGGGACAGCATTTATAAAAGCCACTGGCATGCTTTTCGGAGTCTCAGCAAGGAGGCTTTTTGTGTTTTGTTTCCCGGAGTGGGGCCGGGGTCCCCTCTGCCTAGTGACCTGGCCCGAGCCACTAAGATGCTCAATCTGCTTCTCCCCTTCTGCACCTGGACATTTCCTATCTGGGCAAAAGCCCTTGTGCCCAGTGAGGTGAAACTTGCAAATTATACTGTCACCGTCCTCAGTGGAACAAGGGCCAGGAGCTCCTCAGCAGTCACTGCAGGCAACCCTCAGAGGTCTGCGGGCAAAGGGACAGCCAGCTGCCTGACTTTCTCCATCAGCTCCCTGCCCCAAGACAGCAGCAGTGGACGGACAGCCGCCCTCCTCCAAGGGCTTCCCTGAGGGTTTTCCTGCATCCGGGCCCAAGTAAGTGTACAGATCCCAGTGGCGGGAGAGGGTCCTTGTCTGGGGAGGTGCAGAAGGAGTCACCTGGAGGCCTGGCTAGGAGAACCAGAGAAGCAAACCTGGCTGCAAGGAAACAAGCTCCAGGCTGCATCTGAAACTTAGCACTCACCCAGTCCACTCAGGCAGCCAGCAGGCCGGGCAGCAAAGGGCTCCCACTCTGAGTCGGGGTGCTTAGAGGTGCCTGGCTTTTCTAAACACATTTTCTAAATGCCTGTTTACCAGAGGGGGTGCTCCTGTACACCAGTCTGTGTCGGGAGAGCCTTTTCAACGCTTATTTCTGATCAAGTGAGAGGGACTGCTTGTAGGACGGATTCCTGTGAGCCCTGTGTGTGCGTGCAGGTATGTGCTCTGTGTTCACTGCATGTGTCTGTGAGTGACTATGAGTGTGTGCATACATTGATCATTCCTTTACGTGTTCACATGTATGCATGCGAAGGTGTGTTTCTAAGTGTGTGCACGAATACACCTCTGTGTCTGTAGTAGACACTGACCACACTCTCTCCTCCAGCTGCTCAGTGATCCCAGCCTTTCAGCTTTATGGGAGCAGCTTGCTGGCTGCCCACTGTTGGGGTAGAGCATGACTCAGGGCTAGGGCCCAGGGCCAGCTCCCAGGTGAGCCAAGACTGTGGGGTGATTTGCGTAGCAGCTGTGAACAACCCTCGCCCAGCCTTCCTGGCCCTTATTTTTCTCTTCTTCCTTTTCTCTAACTGACATCACACAGCTTCCAGTCCCCAGGTCTCTGCTCTCAGCAACTGGCCTAAGATAGCACTTTTCTACATGTTACCTGTGCACACGGACATACACGTGTGTGTGTGTGCGTGTGCGCGCACACACGCATGGGAAGGAAATCCGGAAGGATTTTGGAGAGAACAGTCTTCCACAGAGTCCAAGAGACTCTTCCAAAGGGAAGGATCACTGGTTCTATACTATGGAAGGTGGAGCCGTCTCGGGCAGAGTAGGCGAGACCTGCTTTAAAGCTGAAAAGCAAAAGATACTTCCGAAGTAAATGTATGTCTTTTATTAAATCAGAAGGAGAAAGGTAGAGTACACAGGACTGTCAGCCAGACGTGTGCTTCTCCGAATTACATTTTAATAGACTCACTCTTAATTAGGCCTCTGTACAAGAATTAAAAACCACTCAGGTATCTGAATAATATTCTGTAAATTTTTATTAACTGGGGTTATGGGGAGGGTTTTATCAGAGCACATCCTGAGAGCATTAAGAAATTACAGACAGACTTGAGGTAAGTGTCAGACGGAACAGATGAAGCCAGCCCCTCAGCCATCTGAGAAACATTAATAATGTAAGATCGCGGAGACCAAATCTTTGTTAGGGTTGCAGAATAGGGGATAAAAACGGAGATCTTGGCGCCCCCTTGTGTTGCAAAATAAACTTGCAACTTCATTTAATTTATTTTATTTAATTGTAATCAATCCTCGCCCTTGTCCCTGTGCCTTAAAAGCAATTGCTTTCCCAAATCATTTCAAGCCCTCTGCAGTCGATCGTTTCTCTCTCATCAATGACTTTATGGGGTCTATTAGAAAACCAACGCTTATTCATTCCTTTTCCTGCCTCACACATTCCATTCCAGGAAAGTGGCAACCGCCCAACGCAGAGCCTGGGCGCTCCGGCCTTGAAGTGTAAACTTAAACAGCGTCCTCTCCTCTCTTCGGATTGAGAGGCCGAGCGTGTATCTGCTGCAAAACTTAATTTTTTCCCGCAGATACTGTTCTTCTGCAACTTACTTGTCTCTGCCGTGTTTTACAACTTAACACAAACGTGTCCCTCTGCCTCCGCCCTGCCCTGCTGGGCACTGGTCAGCTCCTCCAGCCTCTCTAGTTAACCTGCTGACCCATCTTTACAGTGATTTGCCAGAAGACTGGACCAGAGACATAAATAATACACCTCAAAATACAACAGCTCAGGCTGAATTTGTAGGCAGAATTTCATTGGACGGGAATGAGAAGTAAAAATATATACATAGCGTGTGTTTGGGAGGAGATGGAGCAGGCAGACAGCTCGGTGGTAGAACCTGGTGATTTGTTTACTTGGATTTTCCCGGGGGCCCGATGGATACGGGGTCTGTTTGCACTTGAGCATCCGACATCCGCTTTGGTCCCTGGAGAAAAAACAGAAAGCAGTTGTAGCCTATTGAAGACGTGCAATGCTGACAGCAAAGATTGTCATTGATTTAGCACTTATTCAGTGCTAGGTGTTGTGCTAAGTAAATGCCTTTTATTTAGGAGTGCTGGATAGGAGAAATGGTCTACTTGTTCAGTGCCCTGTTATATCACTTTCTATCTTTGTGAAATCTTGGACACATCTTTGTACTTTGATTTCTTCATCTTTAAAGCGGGAATGATAAGACCTACCTCAGAGAGTTGTTGGCAAGATAAACAGAGCTCGGCTTTGTGATGCACTGAGCAGGTCCCCAGGGTGAGACCCTTCCCCTCTTCTAGCTCTCTTCTGCGCCCTTACCCAGTCTCTGCCGGGCTCACCCTGCTCTCATTTTCTCCCCGAACGACCCTGCTGTGTTCTCCCTGAAGCGATCCTATTATCTGCCCCCCCCCCCCCCCCCCGCATAGAACAGAAGCTCAGAGGGCCTGCAGCCGAGTCCTCGGGGCCTGGCTGGAGCCGATGCAGGCTCCTGATGTGGGCCAGAGCTGCCTGTGCTCCGCAGCAGGTGCCATGATGTCCTTAGTGCTGCTGCTTTACTTTTCCCATCCAGTGCAACTTAATTTTTTAAATTTTTTTTTTTGGTACAGGGGATCGAACTTGGGTCCTCGTGCTTGTGAGGCAGGCGACAGAACCACTGAGCTAAATCCCCAGCCCCATCCAGTGCAATGTAGCAGAGTTAAACTAACCCATTGTGTATAGTTCCATGAGTGTGGGTCACAAAGACGGTCTTACGAGTACCACCAAGATCAAGACACGCGGTCACTCTGGCCCCCCCAGCCCCAGCCCTTCTGGCTCACAGACGCTCTCCCAAAACCTGGTGGTGCTGCTCTGTCCCACCCTAGCGTTTCGCCTTTCCCAGGATGTTCTGCTGTGGAATTGGAGGACAGAGCCTTGAGCCTTCTTTCCTGTAGCAAGCTGAGTGGAAGTTCAGCTGTATTGTTGTGTGCAGGAGATGCACTTTATTGCTGGCCCCATTCTACAGAGAGAGCAGTGTAGGGCAGCAGAATGCAGTGTGTGATGGTACAGTAGTAAAGTATGTAGTGCAGGCTCTTACACAGCAAAGTATACATATATTCAGGTGCTGTAGTACAGTATAATGAAGTGCATTACACCACAGATAACAGGATATTGTGTATTATATGGTATATATAGAATATATATATAGTGCTGTTTAGTATACAAATATAACAGTATATACTGCACATATGTAGTATAGTACATTACATAGTATACATAGTGACTACATAAAGTAGTGCAGTAAACAATATAGTTTAGCATAATATATAGCAGTGAATAATATATAATGCAATATAATATAATGCAGGATCACATAATACATTATCATACAGTATATATAATATAGTATAGATGTATCATGTGCAGCATAATACAGTAGAGCATATATATACAGGATAATATATACGTAGATAGTATAGGATAGTCAAATAGCACATTGCATTAGTGTATGTGTAACACGTGGAGTGTATATTTATAGTGTGTGTATAGCAATATAGAGTGCAAAGACTGAAGAAAATTGAAGATGATGATGAGGAGGTGATGTGGGGCAGGGTAACAGTGGCTCCCCCACGCTGACTGCTCCCTAGGTCTCAGGCTGTGCCACAGGGTCACATGAGCATCTCGTGTGGCTGGTTCATCTCGTGTGCCTGAGTTAGGCACAGCTAAGCTGTCTGGTTCACAGGGACACACAGTCTCGTAGTTTACTCATGGAGGAGGGCTGGACACACTGGCCATCACGTAGTAATTCCAACCCCCAGAGCCGTGGGCCACGGAGTCCACAGTGAGGGAAAACGTTCAGAATTGGGAAAACTGGGGCAGATGGTGCTGGGGAGGGAGAGAAAGGAGACTGCTGTGGGTGGAGGGAGCATGAGGAAGGGGAAGGGGTCTCCCGGTGGGTGTGCGGGGAGGGCAGGGTTGGCCCGTGTCCCAGTGTTTCCGAGAGTCAGATTCAGGCCTGCACACGAGTGCCCACACAATCTGTCACGGGGACGGCCACACTCAGTGGGGAGCGCCTACCCTGCGCCACACACTGGACCAAGTGGATTACACATTCATTCCACTCCCCAGGGACATGGGAACTGTGGTTGTTACTGTTGCCTTACTTTTTCAGGGAAACTGAGGCTCTGAGGAAGCTGAGGGCTCATGGCTAGGAAGGAGCCGGAATGCGACTGCTGCAGTCTGTCTTGCTGACGGTGGAGCACAGGTGCTTAGGCCTCAGCACCCCCATGCCTGCGTCCTGCGTGCTGTCACGCCTCCCCGTCCTCAGCACCTGGTGGTCCCATCCATCCTGACCTGACCATGAGCCCCTAAACAGTGGGCTCTCTTTCTCTGCTCTCAGTGCCCAGCACAGTGCCTGCCACCCAGCGGGTGCTCAGTAAATAGCTGCGGGCCAGGATGTCCGGCCAGCTGCACCTTGTAGGGGTGGAAAGCACATGCCCGCCTGAGAGTCACAAGGAAGAGGTGAAAAGTCCACCTACCAGGCCCTTGAGGAAGCCCCCGAGGGACTGGCGCCGCTTCTCAGGTCTCTTCTGCGACTTGTCCCCATTCTGCAGGGCGCTGATCTCGCCCACGGCCTGCTCTGCACACTGGGCAGGCTCTCTGGCTTCCTGCTTGTTGTCCTTCTGCTTGTTCACCTCTGCTGACTTCTTGTCCTTGGCGGAGCCTTCTTTCCCCTTCTGAGCTGCTCCCAGGGGCTCCGGCTCCGGCGGTGTAGTGGCCTTCGCTGTGAGGGCCTTCTCCGTGGAGTTTGATGTCTATGGCAAGTTCAAACAAAGTCCATTTTTAGCGGCTGTAAGACAATTCTCAAAACAGGGGAATAAATGTGTTAAAGCAGACAAGTTCAAATGCTGGGTGGTTTCTATGCTTTTATGAGGCATGGGTAAAATGGAAAAAAAAAGGAAACAATGCAAGGTCATGCATGGCAGGGGACATTTATTTATCTAATAATTGATTAACTGATGTTAATCTTTCGCAGCAGGCTGTCTTTCCCCCTTCCTTTGGTCTTAGAAATTGGATTTTTCTTAGGAAAACACCCTTCTCCCCTGTCTATTCCATGTGTTCTAAGCAAACTAATTCTACTTCTCCTAAAGAGAATGTGACTCAGGCCTGGTCGGTCACAAGACTGCACAGGATTGAGGCCTATGACTGGTTCAGGAGAGTCCAACACATGTAAAAGTGGTGCCAACCTCAAAGCTTTAGTAAAATAATCAAGAGACAGGCCTAGTCCCTTCCCACTTACGTTAAAGCTGCAGTAATGTAAGCCTGGAGCTTCAGAACCAGCACCGTTTTCAGGGAAAGTACGCCCGGCAAGGCAGCTAGCCCAGAAGAGAGCAGAACCAAGCAGTGGCGAGGAGAGACAGCAGGTACTGGTGTGTGTGACCCCCGTATCTCGTATTCCAGAAGTTCACAAATGATTCTGCCAGCTTTGAGAGGGTTCCTCCCTCTTATGACAACACGTGACTTTCCCCTCGCAATGCCCCTTTTTTTCCCCTGATTACATCTACTGAAATTTTTGGTGTAAAATTGGCCTTTTGCTTCATGAAATGGTGGCAAAAAACTAAAAAAGGTGAATGGTTTAGATCTAATTTTGAATGTGTATGTCAAAACAAGTCCTTCTACTTGGTTCCTATTATTGAGAGGGATGAGAATATAAAACAAAAAATTCAGGAAGGGTAGGGTATGGTGTAGAGCTACAGATCCAAAAATCGAATCGAATCAAATCGAACTGAATCAGATTAATTCTGTTAGGAAGTAGAAAGCCTTTTGTCATAGTTTATTTGAACTTACATGATCAGAGAGATCATGTAAAAACAAGAAGGAGGACTGAGGTAAAAATAATCACACAGAGATCTTATTTCCCCAGCATGTAGGTCCAGGCAAAATTTGTGAGAAAAACAGCAGTCCACGCAATGCTGTTTCTGGTGCTGGGAGACAAACCGGAGGGGAGGAGGACTCGGCAGGCTGAATGTCACGCATGTCCTCTGAGGGGCCAGCAGCTGCTCAGGTCACAGCCAGGACACACTGTGCAGCCTGTGGCCTTGGGGCGCTCAGATCTGCTGTCTTTTCAGTGAGGCCTTGAAATTAAATTTTTTAAAAATGGAAAATACGTCAGCTTTAAAATATTGTCTTCAAAACTTTTAAAGGCCTAGGGCCAGGGATTTAGCTCAGTGGTACTGCAGCTGCCTTGCAAGCGCAAGGACCTGAGTTCATTCCCCAGTACAAAAAAAAAAAAAATAAAAATAAAGTCCTGGTCCCAGAAGATGACTGGAGCCTGAGCACTCTATGGGCCACAATTTGACCCACGGAACATAGACTCACAGCATTTGGCTTGGGAAGTTGTGTATGGTCCCCCGAGCAGCTTTGACGGAGAAGGCATCTGTGAGCCTGGCACGGGCCTTGGAAAGAAGTGGAGAGGAAACAGAAGGAAAGAGAGGAAAGCAGTGGAAACAGAGGAGACTCCAGGCCCTATAGAGCCACAGGCCGCAGCCCCCAGGACAGAAGTCTCCCCGAGTGGGCCAGAGCGCAGCTGCTGGAGCTGCAGCAAAGGCTGAGTGCAGCTGCACAGGTGTCGCAAGCAGCGCAGGGCTGAGGAAGTCTCTTCACCGGTCCTCCAGAGCTCAGAGCCCAGTGGTCCCCTTGCAAGTCCCACACTGCGCAGGCCTGGCAGATGTTAAGGTCTAGAGGGGCCTGGAGCCCGAGGAACCCAGCTGCGTCCTTGCTGTGGGGCCTGGGATACACTGTGTCCCCCACCCCGCTTCCTCCAGTGCACAGAGGGCTGAACAGAGCTGCAAGCCAGAGGTGCCGGGGAGATGCCGGCCTCCGGGGAGCCACTTGTTTTGGTTTGTTCTGGAGGGAGGAGACTCCAGGGCATGGAAGTGACAGTTCTGTGTCCAGCAGGACGAGCTGCCCACTCTGGCCTAATGAGCACCTTGACCTCACCAGCGGGTCCCCCAAGCACCGTGTGTGTCCCAGTGCTGCCCGCGCGTGAGAGACACCAGCAGTTGCTGTTGAGCGAGTCTGGTGCTGAGCCCTGCGCTGCTCGGTCCCTGCCCCTCCTGCCCCTCCTGGCCCTCTACTGCCTGCGCAGGTGCCTTTCCTTCCTTCTGGGAAGAAGCAGGCTCTTGGCATCACAGGCTTTGGTTGTTTTTATTTTTGCTTTGTCTTTTTGGCATTGGGAGTTGAATCCGGGGATTCTGTACTGAACCACATCCCCAACCCTTTTCACATTTTAAAAAAATTTGAGACAGAGTCTTGCTAAGTCACTAAATCACCTAGGCTGGGCTGGGAGTGGTAATTCTCCTGCCTCAGCCTCCCAGCGTTCTGGGGTTACAGGCTTCCCTTGCTTGATCATGGCTTAGAAAACCACTCCTGAAGACCAGAGTTGGCTGCCTCCTTGTGGGATTGCTTTGTCACTGAATGCAGATGATCTGAAACACTGGCTCGGGGCCTGACTCTGTCTCAGGCTTCTATCAAACCTCACACCCCTGAGTCATCAGAACCTTCTAGGACCATCCTTCTTCGGGAGCCCTCTGGAACCCTGCAGTGCTGGCCGGAAGTCTCAGGGAGGCCATGAGCACTTCCCCTTTGATGGAGACTCTAGAAGCCACCTGAGGCTAGGCGTGCCTGGAGCTCCACCAACTAAGCCTTTTATAGCTCTAAGAGGACGAATCGCGAAGAAGCATGGGTGTCCAGTCCCTGCACCCAAATCAAACTAAGCATCTGTTCTGTCTCAGAGAGGGCATCAGATCTCAGGGCGGGAGGCAGAGCTCTCCCAGGGGCTCTCATACACCTCCAGGTGAGAGGAGGAGAATGAGGTTCCCAGCTCCTTCAGGCTTTCAGGCTTTATGCCAGGGTTAGAAATACCTCAATTATTGGCTGTTTCATCTAGGATTCCAGACAAAGCAGACAGCGAGTTTCTCCTGTTTCCAAGGTCATCACCTTGGGAAGGGGTTCTGGTGCTGGGGATGGAACCCAGGGCCTCGTCCATGCTAAGAAAGTGCTCAACCCCTGAGCTACACTCCAGCCCTGGAAAATTTGCTTTCACAGTGGTCTAGAGAATAGGCTTGGGGGCCAGGCACAGGTACAAGTTAAAAAAGAAAAAAACTGAAAGCAGGAAAAATCATACGTAGAATAAATGGATTGGTATGGAAATAGAAATACTATAAAGTATTGGAGTAGTCATTGCCATGCATGTGTGGTGTGTGTGTGTGAGATGAGCAACTTCGTAGGATGGCAGAGCCCTCACAGCAGCAGACAGTAACAGACAGACACTGTGACGGCCCGAATTGAATTCTCAAATTGCTATGTTGAAGCCCTAACCACCAAAGTGATTGTATTTGGAATAAAGAAGGAATTAAAATTAAGTGAGGTCATGAGCGTGGGACTCTGATCCAAAAGGATTAATCAGAGTCATTGTAAGAGGCATCATGGGCCGGGGATTTAGCTCAGTAGCACTGTGCCTGCCTTGCAAGCTCAAGGTCCTGAGTTCAATTCCCGGTAGAAAAAAAAAAAGAGTCATCTGAGTGCTCACCCTCTATCCCTCTCTTCCCTATCTCTTTTTTTCTCTTTTTCTCTCCCTCCCTCCCGCCCTCTGCCATATGAAGGCAGAGCAATAGGCAGCCACCTGCAAGCCAGGAAGAGCCCTCACCAGGGACAGAACCCTGTTGGCACTGTGATCAAAGCCCGTCCAGCTTCCAGAACAATAAATTTCAGTTGCTTAAGCCACCCGATCACGGCATCTTGTTATAGCAGCCCAGGCTGACTAATACAGCCACTAACTTATTTACTGAGCCCTCGGTACCGGGAATGTGCTCATGCATGACACACTGATTCACCTAAGTATGACATCCTGTGAGTGAACTTTTCCTTGCTCCCATCATATAGATGAGGAAACTGAGGCCCCGGGAGAGTTAGTCACAAACCTAAAAAAATGGCTGATTCAGGACTGGAACCCTGGCTGTCTGAGTCCTAAGAGCTTCTCTACATTGCTGAAATTAATAGAAGAACATTTAATTACTTTTTTTTTTTGTACCGGGGATCGAACTTGGGACCTTGCGCTTGTGAGGCAGGCACCGGAACCACTGAGCTAAATCCCTGGCCCTTAATCACTTTTTTGTTAAACGTATATATTTAAGTTTGAAAAGAGTGCACATTATAAAGTAAGGTGTTGTGCACGATCCCATGGAAAAGGAACACATAGTTATAAAACTGTCATAGCCTTGTATCTTTAGAATAGAGAAGTTATGAAAATGGACTCTGTGACTCTATGCGCTTCACTCATCTATTCTAGAAACAGCCCCTATGATGTAGTGGGCACTGTGTACAGGAAACCAGATGAGATTGTCTTCTCCATAGACCTTCCAACCAGGGTCGGAAGGGGCAGGCAAGATAGGCAGCTAGCAGACAATGAATTATTACTATTTATGATAAGTGCCAGGAAGCAAAAATAAACACAAGATGTAGCGATGACTGGTGGGTAGGGAAGGTCTCTTTAAGGACAGAGAAGGAATTTTGCCCATGGAGAAGAGGGAGGAGCTTGTGTGAAGGGGATAAACTCTAGTATATGTGCTGCTGAAGCAAGCACAGAAGGGGATAAACTCTAATGTGTTCATGTGGATGTCTGCAGAGCCCGATATAGGCCTGGGATACAGCAGGTGCTTAATCTGGAGATGTTTCATGAATCAGCAATGGCTGAGGGTTGCGTTAAAAATGAGACCAGAAGGAGTGAGATCACGCAAGCCAAACCCACCACCAGATAGGGCTCAAGGTCACTTACTTGGTTGTTGGAGTCTTTCCCATTTATTTCTTCCGAGTGCGTGATCCCTCCATCCCCTTTCACTGACTAAAACAATAAACAGATAATAGCTTTTCAGCTACCACAAGCACAGAGAATTCAGTGAATGCAAGGGAATTCTGCCATGGACGACCCCAGTCATTCATTCTTGAGATTCCGGCTCAAGACAAGTGATGGAACAACCGGAAGTGTATGACTGTACTCATGACATATATGGATTCCCAAATGTGCAAACAAGCCCGATGAAATTCAATGTTGGGCTCCCAAAAGAACAACAAACATCCTAAATATGGGGTCAGACGTCTCTGGAGTAAATAAATGATGCAGATATGAATGCTGGAATCAGGAGGTGGTGGATCACTCTGAATAAACACCTGAATGGAAGTGTTAGGCAGCTTTCAGGAGCACCATCGAGGTGGCAGGTGCTTCGTTGTATTTTTCCCTAGTAGGAATGTGAGTTACAGTGAGCTTTCTGTTTTCCATCCTTTACTGTGCCCTCTATCCAGGGGCATCCAGGACAGGGCTGGATGGAGTGGAATTCTCACCTTTGGTTCTCTGGATCCCACACTGAGCTAATGAGTTTCAAAGTATCAGCACCAGCCTCACCTGGGGACTTGTTAGAAAAGCAAATTTTGACAGTCCCCCCAGGTTCACCAGGTCGGAAACTCTGGGGTTGGGATGCTGCAATCTGGTTTTTTTTTTTTTCCAGTACTGAAGATTAAAGCCAGGCCACATCCTCAGCTCTTTTATTTTTTATTTTTAACAGGTTCTCATTAAGTCACTAAACTGTCCAGGCTGGGCTCAAATTGGCAATATTCCTGTCTCGGCCTCCCAGGATGCTGGAATTACAGGCGTGCAGCACCACTGTACCCACTAGCAATCTCTGTTTTAACGAGCCTCTTGTGTGGTTCAGAGAAATGCTGGGCTTTGAACATCACTGCTCTAAGCTAATTGACAGAGACAAATTCAGACCAGTCCCAGGGACTGTGGTTTTAACTCTGCATTTAGTAATGCCCTGCTCTTGATGCATGATGAATCTGACAGTGAATCACTCAGTTCTCATCAGGGATACTGATTCAGGTCTAATCCCTGAGTATTTGGCCACTGCTTAACATCTCCTCCCAGAGGTACTGCTGTCACCTTGGCCATTCTCTTAGCTGAGCACATGAATCCACAGCATCGAAGGTGCTCAGATACATTTGGTTGGATTAATATTATGTGCTTGGTTTTCTGAGATATGGCACTCATCTTATTAGAGAGGACTAAAGTTATTATTTACGGGGGCAAATTGTTAGCGGAGGACTAAGTGTCAGGCACTGCACAATGAGATACTAATCTGCACGATCAGTCATCACTTCAAAACCTTATGATAGCAGATGAATTGTTTTCCTGATTTTACAGGTGAGGAGATGGAAGCCCTGAGACTCCTGCTTGGGTCGTGGCACCACAGCTTACAGAGCCAGGGTTCGATGCCGGGCTCTGCTCTGCACCTAATCTACTTCCCATCTCACTGCCCCTGAGGAGGTAGAGAGCAGGTGTGGCTCAATCAGCAAACCATTACCAAGCATCTACTAGGAAGTTATGACGCGTCAGATTCAGCACGATGGGAAAAGCTTGGGTAAGGGGAGGTTGCTAAACCTCGGCTAAGATTGCTTGTGGGTCCTACTCATTCTCAAGGTCAACAGTTCTCTTTTCATGCTTGGTGCTGCTCTACACAGGGGAAGTCTTTACTGGGACCATCAACGGTCAGAGCTGGGGTTCCTGTCTTTCCTTGTCCCAAAGCAGCATCTACAGAGCGTGACGTGGGGTGGAGCCTTGATCCTCGGTGTTTCCCGATTGGTTAGGACTGGAAGAAGTGGTATCTGCTGGTCCTATGTCCTTGTTGTGGGAGTCACCTAGGTTCTTACTGCAAAGGCAGACAAGCACCAGTTTGTCCTCTAGAGAAAATTTAGACCATTAGCATGGAAAGTGGTTTTTCTTTCCTCTAGGCCCAGTGGGCTTGAGAAGGGTAAGAAAGAGAAACTGACTCCCTAGGTTCGAGGTCTGCCGGGCTTCCCCGCACACGCAGAGCTTCTGACTCCGGAATTTCGTTCAGCTGCGGCCTAGGAGCCCTTCCCGAGCAAGCACATCCCGAGGGTTCTGGACAACGTAGCTTAGGCTGTACGAGTTGGCCTACAGGGAAGCTTGAGTGGCAAAACCCCAAAAAACAAATGAACAAAATAGCTTTTCAGGCAAAAGCTGAATGAACACCGAGTCATGCATGGCCCTTTCCCACTTCCAGAAAATACAGGACTTTCTTCAGCGCCCTCTTGGACACAGGGATTTTGAACTGCTTTTTCATTGTTTCCGCTTGGTATTTGTTAGGTACTTGGCCAATTTAAGGTTCTAATTTGCTTTCTTTCCCTCCTTTGCTTTGGTAGCTCTTGGAAGAGAATTTGGGTTGAATTTAAATTACGCTATGGCCGGGGATTTAGCTCAGTGGTTCCGCTGCCTGTCTCGAAAGCGCAAGGTCCAAGTTCGATCCCCGGTACCAAAAAAAAAAAATTACGCTATATTGGGAGCATGAAAACAGACCTTCCGGTTGTCAGGAAGAGCACTGCAAAGTTCAACCTGTTTGAATAAAGTAGAAGAGAGGACCGAAGTGTTTTGGTGATGTTTCTCTGTTGTTCACTGGGAGGCGTAGGAAGCCGTGCCTAAGCAAGGCGGACGGCTGAGTTTCAACAAAGGGTCTTCCGAGGCTTCCCTGAGACCACCTAGATCCAGGCTGTTGTCATTAATAACGATTCTGCCTACCCTCTTCCCTTCCTTTCCTCCTTCTGTTGTCTCTCTCTCTTTACTCTGTGCAGAGCCCTCTTTCTAAGAAACTCAAGAGACTCCGCTTGGCTTTATTATTCAAAGCATATTATTATTATTATTATTATTATTATTATTATTATTATATTTGGTACTGGGGATCAAACTCGGGACTTTGTGCTTGTGAGGCAGGTGGCGGAACCACTGAGCTAAATCCCCGGCCCTCAAAGCATCATAACCACAAAGGCTTACTTTTACTAGCTGTCCAAAACAGCAAAGCTACTGTTTAAGGAGACTAAAATTCCTTCAGAGACTCATCAGTACTTTGAAGAACAGTTTGAAGATTATCAAGTAATTTCTGAGATTTTCCAGTGGGACACCCAGCAACTATCTTCCTGGGTTGTTTTACACCTGAGAATCAAAATGAAGCATCTCAGGGCATTTAGCTTGCAGTTTTGAGATGGATTCCACTGGTAGCTTCCAAGCTTTGCATATTAATGGAGTCATTTATTTATTTCACTGCGTCATGCATTGATAACACTGAGCAACATTTGAACCATTTCCAATATTTATTACTTAGATATTAAAAATGCTAGCAGAAATATATGGTGGTCAGTTTACATTTCTTTGAAAGGAATTTAAATGTATTTACGTGATAATCCAATTCAACCCAAATGGAAGAAAAGTGGTATGAAATTTTAATACAGCATGAGACTATCAGCAATATTGTTTACCAGATCCACAAATCCAGGGATTTGGACCTACTGGAAATTTCGAGGGTCCATAAAGGTTGACAGTCTAAGTTTTTGAACTTTGCCAAAATGCTCACATGAAATGGGACTGGAGTAAAAAGGCAAATTACCCAGCCAAGGTAGATTTCATTTAATGACAAATATATTTAGGAAACCTGTGCCCAAGTTTTATGTAAACCATGTATTAATCTTCCGGTTTCTGCCTTATAATTTTAGATTAAGAGGAATAGCCCATAACAATGTTTCCACAGAAAATACTACTTAGAGAATTACAGGAATGGAGCGTGTAGTTTTCCTGCTTCCAAATACTCTCAAAGAACGCAAGCTGCAGAGATTTACGAAGCAGCAATAACATGTGAGTAAAGGTGAGCTGTAGAAACAAAAAGTGACAACAGGACAAACACCTGACTGAATTCTGGCTCTGCATTTGTCAGCTCTGAGGTAGCGGGCAAACTGCTTAAACTCTTGAGTCTTCAAGGCCTAGTCCTCACAGGGAGGTGGGCAGTGAGAGTGTGGGTTTTGTGGGGTTTCTACATGAACGCATGAGACAATGCACACAACATGCTTAGCATGATGCCCATCATGTCCTAAGTACCTAGAGCATCCATGATGGCCAGGATGGTGATTGCTAACAGTGCTAAAAGACGACAGTGCCCCTGGGAGGGTAGGAGAGAATGCAAGTTGTTGGTAGAGGCAGGAATTGCCCAAATAAATGGCTCTTTTAGGAACCTTCGAGAACAAATCAGTATTAATATTTTCATACCCAGGGAAAAATTTGAGATCAAGAACTTTGGCTAGAAGACTCCTGTTTTTTATTTAATAATTACCATTCCAAATAAACTTCTTTCTACCTCCAGATAGTAAATTTCACAGGTTTTTATTAAACTTTTTGATTCAATGTAGTCAACAAAACCTCTCTCATTTCTTGACTGTCTCCTCATTTGAGCCTTTTATTGGTCCCCAATTAAGCTCACAGTCTTTCACTAAACCCCACCAAGCTTTTCTTGTAAAACTAATAGTCCAAAGAAAGAGCCAAGCAGAAGATTAAACAAAATAGAGATGTGAAAAATAGCTTGGAGGAGGAATGCACTTTTCCAGTGCAAGGTATTATTATACTGACAAATTATAAATCTTAAATGTATGTATTTCTACCTGCTACCTTCATGATTTCAAATCTGTCTACCTGGTCTGCAGGTACATGAATACAGTGCTCGGCCCACTCACTCTACAAAAATATACTAGCACTTGGAATACTCAATTTCTTGACATACAGCTGAATTAATATGTGTAAGAACTGTGTTCTATTTAAGGCATGACAGATGTCTTAGACATTCCTTGCAATTATTTTGGAAACCTGTAGAAACTTGTAGAATTTTTGTGAAGTGATACATCCACATGTATTAAATGCAGTGCTAAGCCTTAATATGATTCTATTTTCTTTGACGTGAAACATGATTGTTAGAAAAAGCCATTATTTTTATTTTTATTTTTGTAAGTTAATGT